GCTATGGTTAACTTATGTACGTTGTTGCTATGGTTAACTTATGTACGTTGTTGCTATGGTTAACTTATGTACGTTGTTGCTATTGTTAACTTATGTACGTTGTTGCTATGGTTAACTTATGTACGTTGTTGCTATGGTTAACTTATGTACGTTGTTGCTATGGTTAACTTATGTACGTTGTTGCTATGGTTAACAATCAGATTAATTTCTAAATTTGCATCTTACCTCAGCTATTAGAATTGCAAATGGAACAGTCTGAAGTGAAGGTACTCTATGATGTACGATGTACAGGCCACATCACAGTTGAAATTTACAAATCATTTTTACCTTGCCCGTAACATCAAAGATGGAAGGGAAAGGTATATTAAGGGAAAATTTCTGTCCGCCATTGTCGTCGTCGTTGATAATTGTTATTGTGTGCACAATAACTTTACTAATTCTGTTCCAAACTTTATCAAACTTGGTCACCTTATTCATCAGTATAAAGTCTTCCCTGAGATGTCCTGTATGAAAATATCATGTAAAAATTGAGAAATAAAATATTTTGATTGTTTCTACTTGACTAATATCTGGTCACTGATCTCAGTGGAAATATGCATAGTTGTATGTGTTCAATGAGGCAAATCATTTATCTTGTAATAAGATCCTTGGTAATGTATCTCCAAAATCCCGTGGGAATACTATACTGGGTTTCAAAACCAACTCATGGCAGAGAGTTTTTGCACAGTCTGATACACATTTGGAAACCTACCAATAAAATCTTTACAGAAAACATGATGTCACAAAATCAATATAAGCACTCCTAACTGGGTTCCAAATTTTGATCAAGATCTGAAGCCAATAGAAAATCTGTTTAGTCCAAAGTTATCAAATCAAAAACAATACATAAAAAGCAAAACGTTGCATCCACATTTTGAAAAGAAAATTGTACTCAAAAATAGGTATTCTGTATTTGACAAACAGTTTATTCAATAAATGAAAATTCACAGGAATTTGTTTCAGCTATTAGAACAGAATAATAGAGCTTTTATAATAATTTAAAAACACACTTTAAAAACAAAGATTGCAATGTTTGAAGATGTAGATTCTCAGGGAGACAAAAGTACTGTTGACTTCTTTCTCCACTGGACACCAACTAACTATGATAGAGAGCGTTTTTTGAATATAATAAGGCAGTTCATATTTGTCTCAGTGAATCATTAATTTTTGACAGACCACCGAACAAAATACTTTGGCAAAAGCCAGCTCAGATTTTCTGTTATCTTGCATGATTTATGAATCTATTCACATCTAAATGCAGCACTTTTTTTCTGAGATGTGGCATTTGTTTTTATAATAAAAAAAAATTATGTCCCTTAAAATAATTAAACAAATTTATCGAGAATCATTATAAGCACTCTAGCTTAATGCAACTTTGGATTCTACCCATGAAAGATTCAGTCTATCACAACGCATATATTTTAGCCAATCAGATCTCCTCCTTTTTGACCTATCACAGACATAATATACCCCCTTCCCGCCAAAATTCAATAATGCATCATTCCCCCTTAAATTGAGAAATTGTCCTTGTACTTGTCAGATGCTGTTTTATGTTAGTATAATAAACCTTGTTACTTCTTCAACCCACTGTTATCTCGCCTCCGTTATCTCTATTCACCAAATCTCTTCTATACAATTCTACACAAAATTAGACACCAATGTCTTTGTAAGATATTTACATCTATCAAGGACATTTGGTAAACTGCTTTCTCACTGTTGTTTCAACTACAAAACTTGTATGTATTCAAAATTAATTATGACATTGCATATTCATATTGAAACAAACTAAGATAAAGGGAATCATATCATATAACAAAGGGCAAGGTCACCAGAGTTTAACTATGTTTTGAACACTTGTGAGCAAGCACGTTTGTTTTATGTCATATAGAATTTTGTTTGGTGATACAAAATATTTCACTGTTTATTTCATTTGTGTGGAACTTTGATGTATTCCCAATACAATATGTTATCAGTCTTCTCAAGAAGTCACATAATATGCATCATAAATACAGTCACACTACATGTTATCGATATCATAGAATAGTAAATTATATAAACTGGTTTGTACTGTACCTTGGTGTGCATGAATAATAGAGAAAGTTGTGATAATAGCAAAGTCAGTGGAGTTTACTGTAAAATACTTTATTTTAGCTGCAATTGATTTTCGCTGAAAAGACTTTTTTGGTGTTTTGTATGGGGTTTATTTTCACTGATGTTTGATAAGTTGAATGTAAAATATTTTATTTTCACCGAATCATTCCTTTAGCGAAAATAGGGAGAATTAGTTGCAAGCAAAAATAAAGTATTTACAGTAGTTTGGTAGTAGCAAATTCAGTTGTGAATTGTATAGTCATATAAGCGTGTTTCTACATCAGTTGCAACCTTGTCTCTTGTAACTTTTTCTATGTCTTCTTGTTTACAGTGCTTAAGTGTTGTCAAGTGA